CTGAACCATGTAACAATCTGTCTTAACCAATGGACATATTTTTGGACCTTTAGAAGTACTTCAGTACCATGGTCAGCACAAAGAGGACACCAGTCTATGCATCCATAAGGTGAAGTAAAGGGCTAATATATCAAGGATGTGACACTGAAGGAAATAAAAGAACGTTGAAGAAAACGGTGGAGTGAACTATTTTGTCCTACACTGCTGATTGCTATGGGGAGAGATTAGATGGAAAAATGAGAGAAAGACATATGACTGGCTGTACTAGGTTTGATCAGTGAGAAGAACAAAACTGCTTAACTGATGCAGATGGAACAGAAAAACATGCTTCTGGATTATCAGTTTGGCTCTTAAGAGAAACTGCATCACACACAATTGAAAGAAGCAACATGTTTTCACTCTCATTACAGTGTGCACCTGTAAGTTGCTTTTCAGCTGAAGACAGGCATTCTGGATACTAACTACCCACCTCTGGCTTAAATCCAGAGGCTAAATAAGAGAAGGTGCAAGGTAAAGAAAGTGCCTCATTATGTTTAGAAAGATCCATTCAATATTTCAGCCCAACTCCCATAGGAGGAATCTGGTTGATGACATCCCATGTTATGATGGCACAAGCTCTGCTGTGAGGCTGATCCGCAGCACTTCAATGTATGTTCTTGGAGAGGAGCAGCAGAAACTGAGTGAATCCTTGAAAAAATGTAAAAGTACAGCCAGCATAGACTCATATGTTTGCTTTGAGCAGAAAGAGGAAGACAGAGCCTGGATGTACTCTAAGACCCAAGACTGCTTAAAATACTTACAGGACCTCTTAGCCCTGAGGAAAAAATACCTTGCCAGCATCAATGACTTGAAGTCTATGAATGCAACAAATAAAATCTCTCCTGTGTCTACAAAATCCTCCAAAACAGGGAAAAACCCACCACCTTCTTCCAAACAATCTTCTAAGGTAGGGACCTCAGCATGAGAAACTTTTGCCATTTGCCTTAACAGTAGCATGCATGGATGCATGGTTTCTTTTGATTTTCCATCTCAGCATTCTTTACAGATTGCCTTACACCATTTGAAATATTGTTTAGAGAATTATTTATTGCATGTAGCCAATCATACAAGAGTGAGCAAAGAGAATTGGATTAGATAGTGCCTGATGAATTAGCTTTGATTTCCTTTACATCATAGATACAGCCAGCTGCAATAAATTATAGTTCAATAGGAACGACTGAATTCAGTGCTGCCTGAGCATATACAGGAAATACCATGTCATCATTTAGGATTATTGGCCAGAATCTGATGATAGTGCATGAGCTTTGAAAAATGATTCTTCTGATGTCTATAAGAGACAGGCGTCTGTCATATTTTTCTGATCACAATTAGCCATGTTATGTTTTTTATATATTTTGAAATTATTATTTGCATTAGAAGAAAGAGCCATAAAAATCAAGTGATTTATAGACAGCCAGGGAGAGCAGAAAATTGGTTATAATTAATTACATGTAGAGGCAGGGCTGGACAAGTCTTTTTTAGTGGAAAACAGATATGCTTTCATAGACTAAACTGATGGATGCATTTCTTTTCACTTCTCAGTTCTACTACAGTCATTCTGGACAGACAAGCAAATTAAACAGAGTTAAAAAGGAGAGGGCTAGGGTTACCATGCACTGGTGCCCCACAGTAATGCTTTCATGCATGTTCTCCTATCCTATGGTAAATGAAAGCTAAACCAGGGCAGATTAGTCCTGAATGAAACAGGGTTAAATTAATGTGGTTTATCTTTCACTTACTGTGAGATAGGAGTGGGCACACAAAACAGTTACTGCAGAGCAGCTGATGCAAGGTAAGACTCCCTCCCCTTCTCTTAACTCAGAACAACTTGTTCATCTGCCCACACCCTATGTGATCTTGAATGAGTGGCTTAATTGTACCTTCATTACTCGGGGGTAAACTGAGGATGATAACACTTCCATTCTGCAAAGGAATATTGTGAGGATAAAAAAAAACCCCATGAGTAGAAGGTGCTTAACCTAGTAATGAACTACGTAAGCACTTAAAGAACTAGGGATTCCTGGAGAAGGAGGAGGAGATTGAAATGCAATGTGTATTTATAGATCCAATATAAGCGATGTGGAGGATAGCTAGATTCATATGAATACTTATGAAAAAATGGTGTGTGTGTGTGTGTGTATGTGTGTGTGTGTGTGTGTGTATGTAAATATAAGAAAGAGGAGGGAGTATGAATGTTTGTGAAATCCATAAAAGGATAACGTTGTTCCCAAAATGATCATAGACCACATAGTACTTCATGGTTCTCTACCATGGGTATTTGAAGGTGTTACAGACTGGAGAGTTCAGTAAACTATGAGATTACTGGAGATTTTATATCAGTCCCTGCTTTGAAATTATTGACAGGTCGAACATTATATAATTGAACAACCTGGATCTTCACTGATCAGACAGACAGAATGTTCTCAACACTAGTTTCAAACAGTGGGTATGAGTCCCACTGCCAACTCATGGGGCCTGGTGACTATTGGTCCTCAGTGCTCCCTTCTCTTGAAATTTTCTATTTATTAATATATTGGAAGCTGCCTTGAAAGAAGACAACAAAAAATCTTCAGCTTACTGTAATTACATGGCAGATGAATGTCGATAGACCAGCTTTTAAACTAGAACCATCTCCAAATGCTTTAATAAAGTAAAGAAGCATGGATTGTGGTTTTTCATTTCAGTTGCATTTGTACATTGTATGCATCTGAACTGTTTTATTCATCCAGTCACATGGAAGGCTTAATGCAGCTGGGATACAGAGCTCCCAGAAGCAGGCGGTCTGTCTGAAGGGATGTTGTGCTAATGTAGCATGATCACAATCCCTGCTTTGACAATTGATTCACAACTGGTCAGTGCAGCCCCCGAACCAAAGGGATGGTGAAATTTAAAGGACACAGGGTTGAACCACTGCATCCTCTAGGGAGCTCCTATTAGCAGTGCCATGAGCATGTTTAGATGTCCAGCCACCACGGAAGTCCTGTAGGAGGGTGCTGCTGCCAGTACTTTTTACCTGTCCTGAAGGACCAATCCTTTTAGGGACGTAGTCATTTCTGATGACACACAGGGGTTGCAAATTGAGCTTGTGACATTGAATGACATTTTCTAGGCACAGAGATCATGTTTTAATGCTCCATGGACCTAATGGCCACTCTGGCTAACAGGATTTTTTCACTTTCTTTCAATGTGCTTTGGATCAGGATTTATATCTGTATCATATTTGGTACACTGATGCTCAGTAAACAACGCTAGGATATTAGAGAGATTTGCAAAGAAGTGATTATTCAGTGAGAGGAAAAGAGCTGAAGAGATGGGCTGAAATACAGGAATGCAACTTTCACTATCATATCAGGAGCCAAAAGACAAACCTGCTTATATAGATATGTAGCCTAAGATTTTAAGGTATGGCCTGCTGATAGTGAGGGAGGTGGCATCTCCACATCCTACCAGCAGTGGCTACAGCAGTGTGCTGATAGCTGCCCCCAGCCAAGGTTGGGGAGCTAAGGGCAGCTGAGCTTGATGTGAGCCACATCACTTCCATGTTTGCTGTTGACTCTAGAAGCTGGTATGCCGAATAAGCTACTAGGCTCTGTTGGAACTTTAACCTGCCCCGAGGAGTTAGGGTTGTTTCCTTTTTTGATTCATGGGAGATTTACAGGTCACCAGGTCATTTACATGTCATTGCTATTAGTGCTGTTATTCTGCATTTATACTTGGGTTTCAGAACAGGTTTTGACCAAGAAAGTGAGAAAAAGCAGTGGTAAAGGATGCAAAAATTACTGATTACAGTAGGTAGGGGAATACACCTTACAAATATAAAGCCTGCATAAACTCCTTCTGTCCCTGGAGTGTTGCTATAAACAACTGAAAATTCTTCTTAAAAATAATACTAAAAGTTGAACTTTGGTGTAACAAATAATTGAATCTCTTAGTGGCTAGCACTATGTCATCTGATTATA